ACAATGCTTGTTAAAAGAACAGCACTACCGCATAATTATTGAATACAAGTATAGATAAGTCGGAGAGGAAGGATCCGTAGTTCCGACCTACGTCAAGGACCGAAGATCAAAGATGCCGTTCTTTACGCCAGGCTATCGAAAATACAGTGATCAGGACACGTGACAACCGATGGACGAGAGCCGTTGCCGACTGGATTTCTCGGGACATCAAGCGCACAGGAAGACCATCAATCCGTTGCTCGGATTTCTTCACGAAACGCATAGAAGAAAGATATGATGCCCAGCGAATCTCTAGAGTGGGGAGGATCTACTGGGCTACTCTTGCACGCGATACAGAAAAAGGGAAGTGGTGCTGGTACCCGCTCGAGTCACTCGACGATCGACGGGGCGGCAGGTGATACAGGTGATAGTGAGCCGAAGACGAATTAGGCACAGGTAGGGTGCCCATAAATGTTTGGTCTTTTTCCCAACACCGATTATCTATTATCCTCGTCTAGAAGCTAGAAAGCTCTTGGCTTGATTAATCCCTGAGGGATGCGCCATGCATCCATCTTCAAATTTAACTCCGTTTGAGGTGACTGACTGCATATCTGGCCTTTACAAAAACTCGCGGTGGCCTCCCGCTGAACCGAACCAGTGGTATTTATCCTCCCAGGCAAGTCTGAGACCAGTCTAATACAAATTAAAACCCCGGAGGGATGGATGGCTTGGTGAACCATGAGCGCGAGATCGAACCACTGAGCTCGTGTGCGACGGAGAGCACCTCTAACCACTGCGCCACATGCGCTCAACCTCGGTTGTGATTGAATAATTCAGTACTTTCCTTTCTGAGAACTTTTTTCAAGTAAAAGGAGAAATAAAAATGACTAGAAACTACTAAATTAGTAAAATTTTTGAAAAATATAAAATCACTATTGAGTCTAATCTTCATCACAGACCGCTCTTATTCATAGAGTTTTACGGTAACATGATTTCTTTTCCTCCACGTTTTGCGCTTGGAATAGAGATTGTCACATAACAAGTCTACTTTTGCATAGTAGCACAGACCAACTTCATGATAAATTAAAGCCCTCGATAAATTAGCTTCGAAGGTGTTTCTAGTTAGCGCTCTCTTCTACAGCATTTCTACACCATTGTTCGAAGCGATGTTAACATCTTCCAGAAGACGAAGCCTCTCCTTCCCAAGCGATTGATCGACATTCATATCTCACACTCATTAATTGAGCCAGCATGTCATGTGGTCCGTGACAGAAATGTTAAAATTTGAGCGTAGTCGTGAGAAAACACTCGAAGCGAAAGATCGGCAATCAGTTTAGTGTATCGGTGAACATCCATAGCATTATTACGCTGCATCATATTATTTTATTGTTTACTATAATTTATTTCCATCTAAAGAGTGAGGTAGCGCAGTGCTTTGCGATTGGGTGTACCGAGTAGCCAGGATATAAGCAAATATCCTCATTCGATGCTCTCCCTCACCCACTGTTGCAATAAATAACTGAGGTCGCATTGGTTCGGCTACCTCGACGACTGCAAGGAAGATCATCTCGATCAACATTCTCCGGCGTTCATGAGGACGAAATTTTTCAAACAGCATTCAATCCCACACATGAGAAGTTCCCAAATCTTGTAAATAATGGACAAGGAAAAAACGACTTCACTGTGGTGTGGCTCCCAAGTGCTGTGATCCACACTATAGGCCTGAAATGGGTCATGTACACTGAATAAAACAGATTTCGAACGAATAGCCTATCAGCGTAGAGAGCATTCACAAAAGTGCTCAAACAAGTCCGTCTTCCACAAAAAATGATAGTATTTATTTGTATTTCATGTCAAGTTGTTCTCAGGTAGTTCTGTCCCCCGCCCCGCCCCCACCCCCAATGGATTTATGGATTTTTACCATCAGTAATCGCAGATAAGAGGTAGTTTACCGCCTTATCTTGGTTGGGAGGTGTTTCTGGGTGTTCGACTACGAAGTACAGCAGTACGTTCAACCCACAGCAGGTCCATCCAAGCTGAGTAAGAGTCCGACGTTCCACCCGGAATGCCCAGCTAAGAGTAAATCGTATAGGAGTGATCGCTGTCTCGGTAGCTATTAGTCGCTAGGCGGTAATCTCTCTCTAATCCACAAGGGGACGCTGACTGCACTAATATGGCGACGACCTAGGAAGCCCTGGCTAGGCCTATCTTGGGACTCCAGGTAACAGAACTGCTACACCAGCACAGTTTTCCTGTGCTAGGGCGCGCACCATCAGTGAAGACGGGTTGTCCACGTATTTCAAGTACCAGTCTTTTATTCCACAAAGCTATTCTTAGGATGCGAAGTTAAACTTCAGTGCGTTCTTTGAACAGTCGACACTAAACATCTTTTCAATATTCACTACTCACACGCATCTACATGCACTCACAGTCACTACAATAATCCATCTTATCGTCCTAACATGAGACTTTTATAAATCTTTATTATTATGACTAAAGTTGCGGCGGTTCCGCTTCATCACAGCCACGCTGACTCGAACCGTGTGTCCACAGCAATTCTTCTTACAATTTTGGTCTTTACTGCCGTCGTGCGGAGATAAAGCGTGAATGGTGGAGCACATGACAACTGAATAGTGTTCTCAGCATCGCCCTTTTATACAGGTTTCTAGGCACATTGAAGTGACCTGGCTTCATAAAATTTGAATTTATTTTTCGCCTAATCCGACACGAGGAAAATGTAATTGTGAGGTGTGTGCAAAAGTTGGAAGTTAATATTTTGTGTCAATTTCCGAACATCTCTCCTACATCATGTTCAAAATAGGAAACGACACTTGAACAAAACGTTGCGACCACGGCAGGATTCGAACCTGCAATCTTCTGCTCCGTAGGCAGACGCGTTATCCATTGCGCCACGCGGCCATGTGTCAGTAGAGTGGCACATCTATACTGGTCTAACCTCAAGTTTTCGAGTGGTTTCCAAAGATTATAGTTACAAGAGTATCGACATATGAGCAATTAACAATCGTTATTGTCGTGTGACTATCACTAATATCACTATTACTACTATGACGCCATCGTCCACCATGACTACTTGAGCTATGACACAAAAACATCACGTTTTGAGATTTGTTCGTATCTCAACACTCTTGCGATTTCATTCACATCGTATACTATCGTAAGAATGAATTAAGCAAAAAAAAAACTGAAAATTGTGATTTCAATCACGGCTTCAACATAAATAGGGTTTATTCTTACTTGTATACGCTAGACAAATTCCGATCACAGCTGTCTGCTGACATTCAACGAATAGCCGGTTGACTTCCGCGGACCCAGACTGGGCGTGTCCTTCAGCATGGGAGCGACTTCACCTCCTCTGCTCCGATTGATCGCCAACTACACTAGTACTCTTCGTTATAAAACCGCACTCGAATCAGTCCAAAACTTAGCTGCGGGCTTGCAACAAAAGTGTTACTGTAATCGGCGACTAATCGGGGCAGTCGAGGTGGAATCGTCCCCACGCTGGCAGACATCCCAGTTTGTGTCCGCAGAAGCCAAACGGTTAAGGAGGAGGCCGGAATCTCAGCAGTTGTGGACTTTTCTTCCCTTCAAATTCACTATCACAAGCATAGTTATAGTATTGGATGGAAAAAATGAATATGCTACGAAACCGACTGCAAAGAGAGATGGGAATACGCTTGGGTAGTGGACGAACTTGCCCCATAACAGGAAAGAGTTTGGTTTTCAGAAAGCATAGGAACTTACATCGTAAAATTCGAAATGTCTGAGAAACACATGATGAGATATTTTTCAATGTCCTCAGCAGTTGCCGATTTGCATGATTTATTCTCTCTTTCCCATACCTTTCTCATCTCTTGGTCAATGTTCCGATACATTTGGGTTTTTATTGACAAATAGAACAAGTGATTTCATTTGTTTACTCTCGATGGCCATTCAGTGGAAAACGGTGCTTGATTTATTTGCTACCGATATATGCCTGATAATTATTTTTGAGCCATGCATGTGGTCTGGTATGCGCACTTATAGAGTGCAATACTCAAACACTTATACACGTGTTTCGGTCTTTCAGCCTTGTCAGTTGCACGGTGCCTTTCGTCTGAGCCACTCCCATTGAAGGAGAGCCCATTACATAAAGGAACCGCAGACGTAATATATAATCTCGAAACTCGAAATGAATGGTATGGTATTTGACAATTACCAGCCAAGAGCAATCGAGTGTACATCACTGCGCGCTCGGTGATATTAATCACTTGACGGCGCATGTAAATATTACGTCTGCGGCTCCTCTGCGTAAGGAGGTTCTTTACCAAAGAGGATCGGCTCAGCTGAAAGGCACCATGAAACAGACAAGACTGCAAAGCCGTTTTGACACGTATATTACACTGTATAAAAAGCCCAATACAGCTACATGCATGGCTAAAAAATAACTATCAGGCATATTGAATTTTGAGCGTGGTCTTGAGAAACAGTGGAAATGAATGGTATGCTAGCGATATGATTGAACGCTATACAATTCAGTTCTCGATCAGTACTGATAGACATTCCATTTCTAGTCGCTGTGGTGATCCAAGGAATAGTACAGATTGATAAATTTGGAAATCGTCGACAAAAGGCCGGAATATACTCTGCTTACGTATGTGCCAAGAGTATGAAAAAATGCAGGAGAGAAAATTGAGGATATGTGAGATACGAAGAACGAAAATTATCAATAAGGACACACAAAAGCAAGATGATGAAAAAAATGAAAAAAAAGATGAACCACTCCTGGCTAATTGCGTGGGCGGTATATTACGCATCATAATGGGTGTCTCGCATAAAAATAGGCAGTCTTCGGTAGGATGGGTATACTTCGACTGCCCCTGAGAATTTTATATGGCTTCACTTTACTCAAGAAGTCTCTAATTGTATCAGTGATCTATTAGAATGCTTTTTATTTAATCGCCTTCAGCGGTGGTGAGATGTTATAATATACCTAGTGATGAAGAGTGATTTGCAAGAACATCTACGTCAGGTGGGATTCGAACCCACATTACACCCTATCCGGGGGCGTGTGCTCAAACCGATGCACTGCCGACGCCCGTTTTGACCACTCTTCCCCCTTCAAACCCCATTATATTAGCGACGGTTCAGCACGCGTCCCGGCTGGGATGAAATGTGAGTTTGAATCCCACGTGACGCAAATATTTCTGCATACCACTTTTTATCATTGGGTATGATGAAGTGTGCTGATTTTGAAGATCATTGTTGTCTCTAGAAACAATGGCTCTTCGATGACAGCAAAGCTGTTGCAAATTATATTTTATGCTCGGTAATTTGTAAAACATTTGTAATTGCTGTTTTTGGGGGTCTGTCTGCGAAGAGAACGAAAATGCAGGAGAAAGAGAAGGTTAAACAGTGCAAAGAGGAACTTCATGATAAAAATCATTGCTGCACACCGTGAGATGCGCGGTGATATAATTCTATGGTAGGTGAATCCGCTGGAGTTTCAGTGCGATTCTCGGAGAAATGTTGTATTGAACTCTATTGAGCTCGGAATTTTGAGAAGAATTTACAATCTATCTTCCACCTGCCCGTCCAAATACTTTCAAAGCAGAACATGATGAATCTAATCCGGGCATTTGCAGAATAAATGTTGCGAAAATCTAAGCATACTTGAGTAATCATGAACTTGGCAGCATCTCTGCCGTAAAGGAAACATGTGCTGAAAAGGACTATTGTTCTAGTTCTTACTGACAATTATGAGCACGAAAATCCAGAAAGTGAAAAGTGTTTGTGAAATGTAGACCAGACCTAAAGTATATATTTTGCATGTGACCTGCACAAGTTCTTAAGCGACTGAGAAAACAGATCAAGTTGATGAAGCAAGGCTCACGAGGTCGCATTGAAGCGGAAATCATGGCGCGGAAAAAGTCATCGCAAAGGTGTAGAGAAACAACTTTTTGGAATAATGTCTGACATATCAATAGTGGAGTAAATTGCGACTCTAACGTGAAATTCTTTAAAAGCAAACCTGTATGGTAAAAGAATCATTCGTGGACAGAATGTTTCTAGAATTAATGGATGCACACGGATGCTAACAGGCTGAAATCTCGTGTTGTCCTCGCCTTGTACCAGTATCGCTTAGTGGGTTCTGGTTGCCCAAACGATATGACGAATGCCTTATTATCGTCCAAGGACCATTTTCTGTCTACAAAGTCCTCTGAAGCCATTTTACGAGTGGTGCATGCCGGCGAATGTCGCTGGATGTATGCAACTTACTAGTCCCGTTCACATTTATAGTACTATATAGAATGGCAAGCCTCCCAAGTGGTTTACCGTCTCATTGTGGCCAGGGGGTGTTACTGGGTGTTGGACTGCGAAGTACAGCAAGAGGTTCAACTTCCAGCAGGGCCACACAAGCTGCGAAGGAGTTTGTCGTTTCTACCCAGAAAGTCCAGTGGAGTAAATCGCACCTGGAATGACTGCTGTTTTGGTAGCTACTAATTGCAAGGTGGTAAACTTCCTGTCAGCCACAAAGGCTGGCAAGTGCTCTAATGTGGTGGTGACTTGAGAAAGCCCCGGTTTGGCTTACTTCACAACTCCGACAGACAGAACAGCTAAAGCAGCACACTTTCCCTGTCTATCACTATATCGCACTTTCAGTGATGGCAGGTGGTTCAAGTGTCCAAGTATGTAAGAATTGCAAAACCATAATTGTGGAATTGTTTGGAGTTCATATAAGTTTTTAATAGATAGAATAGGTACTAGATACAGTAGCAGCAAGAGTATGCTATAATCGAATAATTCTGCTGATTGGCCGTTCTCATCGAAGTAAAATCAAAAACCGTCGCATTTTATCTAGCTTAATAAAATAAAAAATAAGACATATTGGTTCATGTACTCACGCGATACTTTGTTGTTGTGTGAGCACGTGAATATTATTTACCGCATAATCGTTCCCAGAAAAGTCGAGTTTTCCGAAACCGACATTTCCGATGGCATTCAAACTCTTGACTTTCTAGCATTTTCATAGTAATGACCCACTCCACTGCGATCCTCATAATGAACACTGTGCTGACGACATCGGTTAGGAGGAAGGTTCGCTTATTCATCACGGTGGACCTTTCTCTATGCTATAATCCAGAGACATATCACTTATCATGTGCAAGTATTCTTTATTTTACCGCCTTAGTAGCAAAGTCATGATGTTAAACTATAGATTCAAGAATGTTGAGTGATATGCAAAACTTCGGAACACCGAGCGGGAAGTACGGCTTCGTTATAGTATCCTGATGAATAACGAATTTGACTTTTTTCATGAATGTGATGAGGAAAGTAGTAAAGATCTCATATCAAGAACATGTTGGCAGTAAAGATCGCTTACTGTATCATTATGCATTATCGTTTGAGCGCGTAAAACCATGCTAAACAAGTAGAATAGTAATAAAACTGAGGAATACCACACTGAAAACACCTGCACTACAACTGCTTGCAAGAATGCTGATCCATATGTGAATTTTGTGAGCTCGACGGAAATTTGATCTATGCCTGACTTTTTTCGGGAACGCGTGCTAGCCACTGTTCTACAGGCGCTCTTATTCTGCTATCACTTTGTGTGAAACAAACCTCAGTTATAGAATCAAGTAAAGTGTAACAGAGCATAAATAAACGCTGTACGCATAATAGTGGTTTCCTTTTGATCTAGCCAATACACGACCTTGACAAATGAGATCTTTTCAGCTAACGTTTCGACGAGTTTTCTATTCTTCAGAGCCGATGACCCAAGTCGATTGTCCACAGTCTTCGTCGTTGTTGCGGATCCCCGTCTTCGTTTTCCTTCGAGTAGAATTGTTCTCGTTCAAGCACCGCTCGAACGAAGAACTTCACTCTGCGATGTCCTTGTATACAGATTGGAGCGTATGCTACCTACTCGGTGATAGTGATTTGTCTTGTCCCTTTTTCGACAGTTTTCAAAAATCTCGCTTAAAACTACGATCTATTCACGGAGTCCGATTTTAGCCTTTTTCGAGGTTGCTTTTGTTAGTGACTTATGCACATTGATGTTTCGTCGGTCTCGCCTATCTCATCAGAGCCACACACCCTATCAGGCACCCCAATTATTACAGTTGGGAAGGGAGACATATTAAGACGTGTCGACATAGAATGCAGGACAAATAGAGTATAACGTCTATATCATAAATGACAGCCACGTGCTTTTGAGTATAAAAAAGGCCCAGACGACAGTTCACGTCGATTGGTCTAAATATACTGTGTCCCCCTTTCCTACTTTGTAGGGATGACTGATGAGGCGTGTGGCTCTGATGAGGCGGGCGAGACAGTCGAAACGTACGTAAGCTACAGACATAATACTTATTGGCGTACTTCGACGGACCGTCTCCACTTGTAGTACGGGCCACAGCACAGGGAAACTTTGCTGGTTTAGCTGTTTTGTTTCCTGGAATCCCGAAGTAAGACGGGGCTTCCTCAGGTCGTCTCCACATTAGAGCAGTTGCCTGCCCCCCGGACGAAAGGAAATTACCACCTTGCCAAGTAGTTACCAAGACGACGATCATTCACGGCACGGTTCACTCCTAACTGGGCTTTCCGAGTGAAAACGTCGGACTCCTTCTCAGCTTGTTTGGCCCTGCTAGGGAATGCATTTCCCCGCTGGACTTCGCAGTCCGACGCCCTGGAACACCTCCCACTCACGACGAGGCGGTAAAACCTCTGGAAGGCACTGACGTAACAAGTTCCAAAAAAAGCTAAAATTAGCCCCTCTGAACATATTGAGTGATTTGTATTTCTTCTCCAAGCAGTGCCTCAACGAAGAAGACTTTCCTCTAACCACTTTGAAGACAAAGCTCCACAACGAGGACGGACGACACTGGACAATCTCCTAAATCATCGGCTCTAAAGAAGACGAAATGCGTCGAACCGCCAACCTAATAAAACCCATTTTAGACCTTGTGACACTAGGTAGATCACGAAAGAGAACAATACTGATTGGTGATGCCGACGTTCAAAACAGGCGGTTTTCAGGATATTTTTGACACTTTAGTGATCTCTTTTCACACGGTTTTTTAAACTGCGGATTTCAGCACTTCTGGCATTCGTTTTTTCGTCTTCTTGAACGTCAAAGTATAATGGTTCAGGGAGTCTCCCTGCAATCTGAGGATAGTCTGGACGTGGCGTTCCCTATGACGCTGTTGCTGTTGACTGCCGAAGAGAGTTAAGAGGTGAAGCTCAGGTCCACGCGCGCCGCGACGAGCATCACAACCACTAGGCCACGGCGCGTCTTTCAGTATGCTCTCCTAACAAATCTTCGGCCCGGCCCGGCCCGCACCCCCTCCCGTCTTGATTCGTCCGTTCTGCCGCCGCTGTATGCGTTCCGTAGTTGCGTAATTGGGGGCGGAGCAATCTGCGGCGGACAACTCGTCCACACCACAGTGCGGCGCATGTGATCACTTCAGTCGGTGGTCATGCATAATCAAGTTGGGACCGCGGCGCTTGTTCTCCCCCGTTTGTGTGCGTCTTCATCGTCGTCCAACTTTTCCTGAATGCCCATAAATTTGATGATAATTGATTTTTTTCTCGTTTTTATGTTGATCATTCATGGAGTTTTCCGTGGGTAAAATCTTAGTTTTCAATGAAACCGCCGACTTTCACGGCTTTCGACAGCACCTCGACTATATCGTTCTTGATTGAAGCCTTTATTGATGAAATAACCCCTGGGTTTTTTCATGAATACTTAGGCGCTAGTGGAGAGTTGTGGTCCCATTAATTTCTTAAGCCTAAGCGTGTGCTCGTAATCTTCCATTTATAGGAATTAATTTAGAAAGTGATCTAAAAACTGACAGGATTGCAACTCTCCTTAAAGGCCAATATTTTGTATTATGGCTTCTACTTTAGCCTTATTATTACAGATTTTCAAAAGAAAAATCCGCGTAGTAGTGTATAAGTGAAGAGGGAATGTTGGTGATTTACTCCTAAATGAGAATTGGAATTTAAAGCTTTCGTTTTTTTTTTCTGTTTGCTTTAGAAGATTTTAGAACGATTCGCAGTCTTCTGGACGCCATCCAGTGGATGTAAGTCGTTGAT